CGTCATGTATATCAGCGTCACCATGCATCCCCATGCTGAGCAAATGGCAGTGGGGCGCTCTGAACTAAAGCTCATTGAATATGTTTTTTTTCAAAGTAACCTACCACCATTTTTTCAGTGCAGAGACGCTCAGTGACACTGATACACATGACGTGGAAGGATGCTGGAGTGCATCTATTTCCATACTCCAGCAGACTCTATTAACTGAGTCTGCTCCAACACGCTGGATTTCCAGTGTGTCGAAGTAGGCTCTGTGCATGTGTATAGGAGCTCGATATGGCTCCTCATAATGAATATGACAGAGAATCGTGTCCTGAAAGACAAGAGCAATTGCTTGATGCTAAGCATACTGCATACCACAAAAGGCTATTCTTCCCTTCTATGATTTCTGGGATGTAGACTCTGTGCTGCATACACTGCAAGAGAGAAGCCAAAGGTAATGAACTATGAAAGATTACAGCTAGGCTGCAAAGGCTTTCAGTACTAAAATCTTTTGTCATAACAGACTGTTTCCAGATCCACATAGGGAAATCGTCAGCCTGAGAAGCCCAGAAGCCTGAATGGGGCACTGCTGCAAAGCCTAAACCAGCCCTGTCAATTTGGAGCAGATCTGTGCGATTGATTGCCTGAGGGATTATTTGAAGTGTGGTCCAAGATGCCCAGACATTTACTGACAGAGGCTGATTATGCATGTCTCTGAACTGAGGTGATTGCTGTGTTAATGAAGACTGCAGCAGAAGACACAGAAGAAAAAGAGCCCGAAATAAGAATGGTGTTCACTAGGTGTATAGCATTCATGCAAGGGCTGGATTGCCATTTCAAATGTCTCCCTGATGGCCAGACAGATTGCAAGAAAACAGCATGTCAGAGAGGAATCATAGGAAAGTGGGGCTGGAAGGGACCACTGGAGGTCATCTAGCCCAACCTCCTGCCTGAGGCAGAATTTGGAGCAAAACCTTGGCTAACCTATTATTAAAACTACACTGGCAACCCTGCCACACAACTATAAAGCATAGATCCATAACCTGCCACAGGTAAAGCAGGGAAATATACCACAAGGAAGGACACACAAAGCCTAAGCGTAAAAGCAAATGCAGCTCTAACCACTCCAGCTGAAAAAATAAAATAGTTCAGCCTGTTCATGGGTGCCTGCGACTGCAACAACAACTGCTTAAAATGTAATACAAAGTGCCAAGTCACAGAGCACAAACAGCCACGCACAGAATAAACCCCAGCGAAGCCCGGATGTCATTGGGACAGTACCCGAAGTGGCTGAGAATTCCTTAAAAGGGCCCATGACCTAAGGACCTAAGATATTCCCCTTCTTTATATTGCAGCCAATCTTCAAAAGAAAGAAGAAATAAAACTGGGGTGCAGAGGGAACAATGCCTTGGCTTCATACTCATGACCAGTTCTGCAATGAAGAGCAGCCACCTGCATTTGGAAAGGAGCAGTTCCACGCCGCTGGATGGTTTCTAAAGCATGGTCACAACCTATGGGTGCCAGCCATGGAACTGGCTAAACAAACCTCTGGAAAAGCTTGATAAAGTCCTCAGTAGTGACAAGTGTAAATGAGGAAATATTCCAGTCCCCATACAATAAACTAAATGAATCTGCCAAGTTTTCAAAAAGGTCAGCCCAGGTTAGTGGGCTCTCTGCTTTGCTAGTCAGTCCCCACCTCCAAAACACAATCTGCTTCTGCATACCTGCTCTGACTGGGGGGGGAGGGGTGTTCTGCTATAGGGCAGAGAAATCATATGAACTGTCCAAACTGTCAATCTGTGTTGCGGATTTAGGACTGGTACCTCCCTGCAGCTGAGCATTACCTCACGGTATAAGCAGTCCCATTTTCATGGTGTTAGGTCATGAGCCCCTTAGACAGGGAAGTAATTCCCCCTCACGTGTAGCCTCTTGAAATTAATGTGACTACTCATAAGAGCACCTGTTCACCAGTGAGCAGCAAGGAGCATGCAAACTGTATAATTCCCCGTTTGCTACAGAATTCAACACAGCTCTGCCACAGATGCTGGAGTATGATGTGCTGCATAGTACATGAGGTTTTGCCCAAAGGGCATTTAAACAGACTCAGCAGAACAGGCTCGTTAGTTTTGCAATCAGCATTTTTCAAGAGCAATAAAAAAACTGAGCCATCATCCTTTTATGGGGAGATTAATCTGTTTGGTGTCTGCAGTTTGTTAACATCAGGAATTATAACTGGAATCCTGTCATGCTTCCTGAGACTATAACCTAAACTTGACCTTATTATCTTGCGTTTCCCATTCTCACAGAGCTGTTTCTTAGCATAAAGTATTTTCACTTGGCTCTTAAAAACAGCATTTCCCACTGAAAATTACACAAGCTCTGGCTAGTTAATGCTGGTATTCCAAACACATGTTTAGCTGGTGAAATTCAAGTTATATTGCCAGGCCTCACTACGCCTACAGGGAAGTCCAGAGGCAGTCAATGCAGGCATATGCTTGTATGTAAAGCAGTGAGGTCCCCCATCTGAAGGACACTTGAAGCCTCTGTCTTGTAGGACTGGGTTCTATCCCATCCAGATGTCACAACCACTGCAATACTTGCAATCACTTTTGTCTGTGCTTGTTTATCTGCGCACAGTTACCTACAGCACTTCAGACATAAAAATCAAACATTTATGTTCTGAGTTAACACTTTTCAAACAGACATATAGAAATGTAGAGCTGGGCCTGACAATCCAGGATGATATTGCAGCTTCACCTGGTGACACTGCTGATACAAGAAGAGGCACCATGTGGTGAGCCCTCAGGAGGGTTAGGGGTCAATTGAGAGCTAATTATATTCTGGAAAATAGAAAATATTGATATATGCATGAAACATTAAAAAATGTGGATTTAAAAAAATCCTCCAAACCCCAGGAGGATAAAGAAAAATTTGTCAAGGAAGTCAAGGAAGAACAACTAGAAGCGATGAGATTAAATGACATCTCGGCGGAGAAGACTGGTGGAATGGTCAAATCCCAAGGCCAACTTCTACCTTCAAGCATGTGAATCCCACTGGGAGCAGTGAAACTCATCAGGTCTCTTACAGTTCTCAGGATTCAGTCCACAGAAAACTGAAAAACAGGATTCTACAAGAGTAACACTGTCTGCAACACAGGCAACTGAAACAAATCTATTGAAAATTTATAGCATCCCTAGCTACCTACAGTGTCAAGAGTGCCCCATAGCCCTGCTGTTTCCAATAACTTCTATTAAAATGGGAACATCTGTATAGTCCCTGTATGGGCTGGTATTAGATTAAATAATAGGAAACTGATGCTTTCTTCTAGGAGAATTCAACTGCATAAACATATTCAGATAATTTTAGCTTGACGCCTAAAATGAATTTATTAAGGGTTAAGGCGCTGATGAACTGCTACATATAATATTCAATTTAAGTTCTTTAAAGCTCCAAAATTATTAGACCACTTGATCAGGCACTGCTCTCTGGATTGGTACAGAAGTGACTTTAAATTAATACAGGCAACCCTCATCATTCACGGGGGATACGTTCTTGAGATCCCTACAAATGGCAAAATCTGTGAATACTGACAGGGCTCCCCGTCAGACCCCACAGCCGCCCCCTGCTTCCCACAATTGTTTGCGGGGCACCCCCGCAGTGCCTGGGGACTGATCCCTCCCCAGTGCTGCCACAGCTGTTCCAAGCACCGCCGCAACCACCGCCCTCCCCATCCCTGGGGCTCCCCTGCAGCACCTGGGGACCCCCCCCCCCCCCCAGCACTGGCATGGCTGCCGCCAGGGGAGAAGATGTCACCACTGCTGCCACCTCCCTCCATATCTCTGGCACTTGTTCTGTGCCCACCTCCCGGATATTTGAATCCACGAATCTGGAGTTCATGAATAGCGAGGGTTTCCTGTATAGATTTATGTAATTGAACTGAAAGTAGAATATGGCCCACTGCATCTCAATAGATGGTGTATATCTGTGATGCTCAAGCTTTTGGCCCTGCAGCCCAGATGAATAAGGTGAGGCCAGTCCATGGGCCAGATCAAGCCCTGCATGCTAGGATCAGGCCCTGGGACCTGGCACTGCCTGCTGGGATTGGGTCCCAAGTGCCTGATACCACCCCCTCTCCCCATACCAGGATTGGGCTCTGGGTCCTGGTGCCACCCCTCTCAGCCCTCCATGTGCTGGGATCAGGCCCTGGTGCCCAATGCCACGCCCACCTGGCCCTGCAACCTGGGATCAGGCACCCAATCCAGCATAAAGGACATGGGGCTCCTCATGGGTCCAGAAATTTGGCAGTGGGAAGTAATGCTGCTGTTGTCCCACTGCTAAACTTCCAGATCCATGAGGAGCCCCAGAGGCCAGATGACATGGGGCTGAAAGCTACATCTGGCCTGCAAGCAGGGGTTTGAGCACCCTGGTCTACAGTACAGCAATGCATCCACCTTGCTCATATTAAGGGTGTTTCTGGCACAGAGTGCTATAGGGGCTTTGAAATGGAAGTAAACTATATTTCTATCCACTGTACTGCTTTTATACTGTTAGACTGGTGTAAAATGGCCACGTATAAACGAGCATTTGGCCTGTAGGATATACATTAATATGGGATCAGCACTTGTGTAAGACAACTAGCGTTTTGCTGCTCACTTCATAAGCACAGGAACAGGCCCATATATAGATTCACCTACATTTTCTCTAGCTGAACTTCCTTTTCCTTTTCAGAAACCAGTTATTTATGGTACACAGAGTATATTTTTAAACACTACATCCCTGTGGGATGGTCTGGCACGACCTGATTCCTTTGTTCAAGAATGTATAATGGGAAAAATGCCCACATCTTAACCCAGTTGGTGTTCTAGATTATGAGGCTGCTGCAGTTCACCCTCGCAGCTAGGCTGTTGGTTAAGAAAGTAGTAGCGCTGTTTGTCTAAAAGGTTCAACAGTGTAAATAACATCAAAACCAAAGGGTATTTACAAGAGCAAAGAAATCAAACCCAAGCATCCAATGTTACCTTGTTACACCATACTCCGGGGGAGGCTGGTATCTGACAACTGCTACTTCTGTTCTCGCTGGCTGTGGAGCAGGGTAGGAGGGTTTGAGAATATCTTGCATCATCCCAGAGTGCTGGTCATTATAAAACAGCCCGTGTTCCTGAGTCTTGCTGACTGGAGACACCACCTGCTTGGCTTTGTAGGGATATTCAGGCGGCGGACCTCTCGGGTCCGTTCCTTTGCCAGACAGCTGAGCAGGTGGCAGTCCACCAGTTTTGAACCCTTTGTTATTCCCTGAGGTAGGGGGATGTTGTTTAGCACCATTTCTCTCCAATGATAACTGCATGATCCTCTCACTTAGAGAGCGGACATGGCCCTGCTTTAGCTCTTTAAGCGCCTCATCTTTATGTGCTTGCCCACTGTTGGTCCGGTTCACAGTTGGTCTCCCTTCTGTTCTGGATTTCTGACTGGACACTCCACCAACATAAAAACTGGGCCCAACAGCACCTGGCTGCTGGCCCCGAAAAAACTGGGACTGAGCCTTAGCCTCTTCATAGGTTGGTAGTTCCTCATTGTTCTGCTGAGGCTGAACAGTGGCCCTAGACTGCTTCTCCATCACAGTATTGTCCACCTGATGTTCTTGCCCCTGAGGTTCCTGGCGAGCTGACTGGTGGACCATTTGTGGGTCTTCTTGTGTGAGGTTTTCCGTGGAAGAAAGAGTGCTTGTTGTGCTGTTGGATGGTCCTACGCTCCCTGTGGCCTGGTGCTGAATTGCCAGCAGATTCATGTTCTCATTTGGGTTGCCATACCTCAGCTGCTCCTGGATCAACCGCTGTAATACTGTTCCAGCTGCAACATCCTCTGAACCTCTCATTTCCACCTCCGAGATCCTGAGGAAGTTTGGGGGATGCAACGTGCATACAGGGTCCTCAACTAAATGGAAACAGAGGAAAGTGAGGATTTGTATTTTGCCATCACACCAGTCTTTAAACCATGCAACTGCTGAGAAACTTTAATCCTTTCACATTCAACACCCTACTCCCAAGCCTGGACACAGAAATACAGTCAATACCTTGAGAAAACTCTGTAGTGCTAATGCAAATAGTAAGATTGTAAAGATGTAATTGAAAGCAGAATCAGCCTTTGGCTTTGTCTCTCAATCCAGTGGTTTGCCTCATTTCTACTAATTTTGTCTCTAAATAACTGAGCTCCATAATTTTGCAAGGTGGGTACTAACAAGGGGCCAAGGATTGGATTAGATGACCCTTGAGGTCCCTTCCAACTGTATGATTCTATGATGATACAGTGGCAGATTTACTACAAGTCAGGTCAGCTACATAGTTCCTGCTTGATAGGCTCCTTAGAAACACCATGAATGGAACAGATAACTAGTCACATAGCTCATATGGACAATAAAAAGGATAGTGCCATCCTTCCAAACTAAAGAAAAGTGACACATCTCCAAATACTATATACCTGAGGTCAAATACTGCATGAACTTGTACCCTGGGCAGCACACTGAGTTCAGGGAATTTGCACAGGTTGTGATTCAGTGCAAAAAAAAAAAAAAAAAGTTACCTTGTATTTGAAGTTAATTCTAATCCAATTTTTCAACAGCTGAACCCATTCACCCATTTGCCACCAGTAACAATCTGAACCCAATGAACTGCCCAAAGTGATATATGGAGCTGGAGTCTCTACTGCTTCAGAGCAATAACCACATGTAAAGGGGATTGTACCTACTCTTACTTGCCACTCCATATAACAGGAATAACTCCACTGCGTTCAGTAAAGTCATTTCTGAGTGACTGGTGGAAACTAAACTATAATCAAGTCCTCAGCACCAGAGAGAATTCTCTCAAATTCTTTAATGATCTTTTCTTGTCCTCCTGCCTTTTCAGGGACAGGTTTTTTAGGTCATTCTTGAAAATGTTACTTCTCAACCCTGCTGCTCACAGTTCTCAGAGGAGTTATTTAGAAGCACTTTATTTTTTTTCTCCATTTGAAAGTAGTTTAAAAACAAACTTTCTCTGGAGGTTTGGAATTTCCCTAAGCCTTCATCTGTTATCCCGCACATTGTGTGTTCGCTTATATACAGTTTGGTTGCCAGATGGAAAAGAAACACCCTCAGCTCTTAGCTAAGAGAAAAGGCCATTTCCATTAACATTTTTGTGGCAAAGACTTCAAGATGATTGTAGGGTGTGCAAAGGAAAAAAGACTGCATGCTGCTACTCTAGAGACAGAGCACTGTATGCTGTCCCGCTTTCCTCCAGAAGACATTAACTGCCGATGCCAATGGTCCTCAACCTTTTTAGACTCAAGGCACCTTCAATAGGCTCGAGGCACTATACAATAGACCCAAGGCACCCCTTCATAATTTCTGTAAATTAAATGACACCCCATTTAAAAAACTAACTTATTATAGTGCTTAAATCCTTGCAGAGGGCCTGGGTAGTGGGGGCAGGGGAACAGCTAGGCAGGGACTAAGCTGGAGCCTGCACTTGACTGCGCATCTCCTTGCACCTTGTGGCACTCTTCAAAGGATCTTGTGGCACCCCTGGGTGTCCCGACACCCTGACTGAGAATCAGTCCTGTCCTCATTAACAAGACAAAGAATGCAGGACCTAATCCCTGTCAGGAGATGTTTAAGTTGCATTAAAAAAAATTCAGGGCAAAATGCAAATTGGTAAATTAAGGACCTAAAAAAAAATCTAGAGAAAAACCAATCCTGAAAGTCCCAGCCACAAAACGCAGAAAGCAAAGTTTCCTCATTGTCTAACCTGGGGCTTTCAAGTATGCTAAAACGCAATCCAGTCTGAGCAGTTAGGTGCCTACCTCTTGACCACTCTCCACTACAATGCAGATACGAGACAGACTGACACCTAAATCCCAAAAGAGACCTGATCTATCAGGCATGCTTCAAAAGCATGTCAAATGCCCAATCACATCACTGAGTTCAGCACAAAGCCCAGCAGCCACAGTCATTCATTCAAAGACATCAGGGCATACTGCACTCATAGCCAATCATTTGTAGAATAGGCTAGTGGCTAAAGACACAGGACACCTGGGGTCCAGACCTTTCGCAGACTGAGGAGATTCAAACTCGCATAACCTTCTTCCCAGAAGAGTACCCTACCCCAGAGGTAGTTAACCTGCAGCATGAGTGCCACAAGTAGCTTCTGTGTGTGGCACATGGCAGATCTGGGAGGGGGCAGACAGCACAGCAGCAGCCAGGACAGGAAACAAAAGGCAGAGCAGGACATTGGACAGGAGCACAGGGTATGGAGCAGAAAACAGAGCAACAGATCAGGCAGTGGAAGGGGATAAGAGTGGCACTCACGGAGGGTGCTGGGCTAATTTGTGGCATGCCTGCCACAAAGAGGCTGCCCCCATTGCCCTAATGGGCTAAAATGAAGGCCAGGTGGGGTGGCACTCTCCACCCTCATGTTGAAGGTGGGACTGCTGCACAGTCAAGAGTCATGAGGCCAAGCAAGAGGGGGTTTGTCACTAAATAGTAGTGGCCCCTCCCTTTGTAGCTTAGCACGGGTAAGTTCTGGGTTCCAGTCCCTGTTCCCAAGGCTCTGTATGGATTTTACGTTAGAAAGATAGTCATTGGAGTAAAAAAAAAAAAAAAAAAAAAATTAAAAATCCAGTAAACCAGGCTACAAATGCAGATTCCCTTTGGCTTGCTTTATTTGTGGGTGCACAGTTGCCTGGGTCCAACTAAAGGGATGGAGAGTTTCTCTTTACACACACACACACACACACACACACACACACACACACCCCCTCACGCAGAATCCATGGTCATGTCTACATCCTGGAGCAATCTGCCCTGGACAGGCTGATCCTGAGCACAGCACAACATACCATCTACCACCCTCTGTACACACACCAAATCCAGAAGAAAGCCAGTGAGACGGTTCTGGACTCATACACAGAGGCCACTCTCAAGCACTTTGAGGATCAAGCTCTTGGGAGCAGTCCCTGCAGCAACTTCACTAATGTATTTCCAGGTTTTAAGTACGTAAGTGGGTGCAGCTGAGCAGGACATGCTCAGGAACATATGGACTGGAGCATGGGACCACAGAGGTGCAGAAACATCCCAAACCACCCTCTTCCTGTGCAAGTGCTCTAACCATTAAGATATCAACCATCAGGTTACTGTATGAAAGGGGGGTACCTCCACCAATTGTGGCCAACTGGTTGCACTCTGGATCCAACCAAACAGAGGCTCCTACTGGGTATCTTCAACAACTCCAGGGAGGGGTGGTACCTCAGACACACCCTGTGCTTGGTGTTTCCTCTTGGGTAGCTCTAGGCAACTCCCCACACTCAGTGTCTGGGCTCTCTGAGTAGCCCTTCAGGGGCCCTGACTCTCCCACTGTCAGTACAGGGAGAATAGATTCCTAACTCTGCTTCTCTGAATTACTTCCATGGGACTATGCACTTATTTTCAGAAATTTAAAGGACTAATCCAGTTAAAGTTACTAGGAAAGCTACTTGCCTGCCTAAAGTTATTCACTAGTTTAAATATTTTGCCTGAGTGCAGAGCATGCACCTCTGAAATCACTGAAAGACGAACACTTTTGCAAGGGCTGAATTCCATTCAAATCTTCAAAATAATATGGCGTACATTTTTTGGATAGGCTGGAAAGCTGAACCTGCAAAAGTCACAGACGGACACCCCCATGAACAGACACAAATGGGGACTGTTTATACTCTTCCCCAGCCTGCCCCTCCAGCTACTACTCTGAACTCAGAACTGCTGCTGTTATTTTATTTTATTGCACCAGTACTGAGAGACCCTGGCAGACTGGGTATTTTGCAGACACACTACACTGCAACAGTATCATTTCTGCCCCATAAAGCTCACTATTCAGGCTATGACAATAAGCACCATGCGATAGGTGGAGAATGACAGGTCAGGATGAAGAAAGCAAGTGCACCAAACATAAGTGGAGGTTTCACTTCAACACCCGCTTAGTCACTGACCTATTTGTGCCCCAGCACAAATATTCTGGTGACATGATTTAGCTGCCTATTTTCTGACAATCTATCCCCTAAGGCCTGGTTCCATGATTATTTTTCTCAGTTTTTGCAGTCCTGTGCCATAAAAAAGCTATGTGCCTTGGTATAACTATCCAGGGCAGAACAAGGCAGAAAGGTTAAAACACAGACCAAATTTAGATTAGCAAAGGGAATCAAGGACAACAAGAAGTCCTTCTTTAGGTACATAGGGAACAGGAGGAAAACAAATGGGAGTGTGGGGCCATTGCTCAACAACTCAGAAGAGCTGGTTACTGGCACCCAGGAGAAAGCTGAACTCCTGAATGACTACTTCGCCTCGGTCTTTCACCAGACCAAGGGGAAAACTACGCCAGGTAGAGTAGAGGATGAGCATGGTAGGAATAATCACCTTCCTACTATTGGGCTGTAGAATTGGTGCATGACCAATTAATACAATTAGATGTACACAAGTCAGCAGGACCGGATGATCTTCATTTGAGAGTGCTGAAGGAGCTGGCCAAAGTCATTGTGGAACCCCTGGTGAATCTCTTCCACAACTCGTGGTGCTCTGGAGAAGTCCCTGAGGACTGGAAAAAGGCCAATGTTGTGCCCATCCACAAGAAGGGCAGGAGGGAGGACCTGGGTAACTATAGGCCAATCAGCCTAACTTCCATCTGAGGGAAAATCCTAGAAAAGTTCATCAAGGAGCCTATCTGCAATAAGCCTGCAGAAGGCAAGATTCTGAATGACAGCCAGCATGGCTTCATCAGGGGCAGGTCTTGCCTTACCAACCTCATCTCCTTCTATGACCAGGTAGCTCGCCACCCAGGCACAAGAGAGCAGGTTGATATTGTACACCTAGATTTCCAAAAGGCCTTTGATCTAGTATCCCATGATGTCCTCACGAGAAAATTGGAAGATTGTGGGCTTAATTCCGAGACAGTCAGGTGGGTGAGAAACTGGCTGCAGGATAAGACCCAGAGAGTCGTAGCGAACAGATCTGTGTCATCCTGGCAAGAAGTGGGCAGCGGTGTCCTGCAAGGGTCAGTGCTCGGTCCAGTACTTTTCATCATCTTTATTTAACGATTTGGATGTGGAGTTGAAGAGCTAGCTCACTGGCCAAGTTCACAGACAACACCAAGTTATGGGGAAGTGTGGTCGCGTTTGAATATAGGCTACAGTTACAGGCGGACCTAGACAGGCTAGCAAGGTGGGTGGATCAGAACCTGATGAAGTTCAATGTTGAGTGTCATGACCCAAAGGGTATGACTGCGTGTGCGCTTCGGCACTGCAGAATTATTTCCCGCGACAAGGAGCTTTCTTTGCACGGTGCAATTCTGAGTTGCATAGAGAAAACCCCGGTGCAAAGGAGTTCCCGCCATTCGCATGCAAATTTGTTTCCCACTATTGGCTGTTTCTAAATTATTCCCATGTGGCGGCTAGCGATTGGCTTGCTAGCCGTATAAGAGGCTTGAGCGGTTTCCGCCCAAGTTGGAGGAGGAGAACTTCACATCCATCTCATGAAGAACTCTAAGCGCTGTGGAGCTTAACGAGCCCCGCGTGTGCCTTAAGAAGGATATAGGGGCCTGATCAACCTCTGGCCTCTCCTCATCGCCGCCTGATCCCTCGACGTACCCTTCCCTGCGCGCTCGGTCCACGGAGCCTAGAAAACTTCGTGTGTGTGTGTATCCAGAGCTCTTTCCGGGTTTAAGAGGCTCGAGTTTTCTACGGGTCTTGTTTGTGCGAGTTTTCTTTTCATTTGTAACTGCAACTGAAGCGAAGTTTTTCCTGCCTACACCGCGACCATCTACGGTGTAAGTAAAATAATCTTTAATCAACCTCTATGCGTCCGTGCCTAATTCTAGTCCACCGTGCCAAACTCCCCGGCCCACGTGCCAGGGCTGCTGGCCACAGCCCGCTGCACGCCCCCGAAAGCCTCAGACCGCTCCCAGCCCGCACATTGAGAAATGTAAAGTGCTCCACCTGGGGACGAGCAACCCCCAACACACCTACAGGCTTGGCAGCACCAAACTGACTAGCACCACAAATGAAAGGGACCTGGGGGTAATAATAGACCATAGTATGAATATGAACCGGCAGTGTGATGCTGTAGCCGGTAGGGCAAATAATACTCAGGCATGCATCAATCGATGCATCTCCAGCAAAGCCAAGGAGGTGATTCTTCCACTCTACTCAGCACTGGTGAGGCTGCAGCTGGAGTACTGCATCCAGTTCTGGGCACCACACTTTAACAAGGGTGTGGACAAGCTTGAGAGAGTCCAAAGAAGAGCCACCCATATGATCAGTCTCAAAAGGCAAGCCATGTGAGGAAAAGCTGAGGGATCTGGGACTCTTCAGCCTGAGGAAAAGAAGGCTGAGAGGGTACCTGGTAGCAGCTTACCGCTACATCAGGGCAGTACATCAAGGGCTCAGTGAGCAACTGTTCACCAGGGCACACGAGGGGAAAACCAAAAGTAATGGCCACAAACTTCTGGAAGATAGATTCAGGCTTAACATTAAGAAAAACTTCTTCACACTCAGGGTGTCCAGACTGTGGAATAAGCTCCCACCAGAGGTGGTGCAATCGCCTACCCTGGTACCCTGGAAATCTTCAATAGGAGACTAGAGAGTCAGCTTGCTGGGGTCACCTGACCCCCAGTTATCTTTCCTGCTTGGTGCAGGGGACTAGACCCAATGATCTTGTGAGGTCCTTTCTGGCCTTACAATCTATGAAACAATTGAATGCTATAGTGCAACTAAGGCAGACAAGGTTCCTTGGGTGAATTTGATATCTTTTATTAGACCATCCAGGAAGAGCACACACCAACTGCTGAAACTTCCTTAGCCTGACGAAGGGTTTTTGAACCCAAAAATTTGCTTAATAACTTTTCTCCAACTATTTGGGTTGGTCTAATAAAAGATATCAAATTCACCCAAGGAACCTTGTCTGCCTATGTCCTTAGACCAACATGGCTACAACCTAAACCCCTGCAACATAGTGCAACTAAGAAATGTTACTTCCTCCATGACAGTAGATGAAGAAGAATATACCATGAGCTGTAGATCAAACCCCAAAGCCAGCAGCAAAAATGCCCTTGGATTTCCACAGGAATCAAGATTTGACCCACAGCATGTTCAAGGTTTTGAGATCCTTCAGAAGAAAATCTAAAAGCATCCACACCTGAGGACGGGCGGTAATCCAGGCTGACCTTGACAGGTTCAGTAAATGGGTGGACGAGAACCTAATGGTGTTTAACACTGAAAAACGCAAGGTTCTCCACCTTGGGAGGGAAAACCTGAAGCATGTCTATAGGCTTGGCAGCGCTACGCTGACTAGCAGTACGGATGAGAGCGACTTGGAGGTCAGGACTGACCACAAGAAGAACATGAGCCTGCAATGTGATGCTGCAGCTAGTAAAGTGAGCAAAACACTGGCTTGCATCCATAGATGCTTCTGAAGCAAATCCCAGAACGTCATTCTCCCATTGTACTTGGCCTTGGTGAGGACACAGCTGGAGTACTGCATCCAGTTTTGGGCTCCACAATTCAAAAAGGATGTGGAGAAGCTTGAGAGAGTCCAGAGGAGAGCCACACGCATGATCAGAGGTCAGGAAAACAGACCTTATGGCGAGAGGCTGAGAGCTATGGGACTTTTCAGCCTGGAAAAGCGCAGGCTCAGGGGCAACCTGATGGCCACCTATAAGTTTATAAGGGGTATTCACCAGGAGCTAGGGGAATGTTTGTTCACCAGAGCACCCCAAGGGATTACAAGGTCGAACGGTTATAAACTCCTGCAAGACCGTTTCAGGCTGGACATAAGGAAGAACTTTTTTTACTGTCCAAGCTCCCAAGGTCTGGAATGGCCTGCCGCTGGAGGTGGTTTAAACACCTACTTTGAACGCCTTCAGGAGAAACCTGGAAGTTTTTCTAGCTGGGATCCTATGACCCCAGCTGACTTCCTGCCCCTGGGGCAGGGGGCTGGACTTGATGATCTTCCAAGGTCCCTTCCAGACCTAATGTTTATGAAATCTAAGCTACCCAATTTCTTATCAAGGTATCAATGACACCAAATAGGAATGAGGGCTAATTTCACAGGCAGGTACATGAGTGATCTTGCTTGCTTACCAGCTTTGACACTACCAATTGCTTCTGCTGTTAACGGGGAAATATCACGCCTACTGGAGAAGAGTGGATGGTCCTGGTAAAGAAACCCAGTGTCTTCCAGTATCTGGACAGGACTACTGGGTTTGTAACATACACAAGGGGGGCCTACAAGAAAGAAAAATGGGATGTCAGTATCAATAAACTTTTTGAATAGACAGTTTTGATGCTGTGGCTTGACGTTGATACATTTTGTGAGTGTGACTAAGTGAGCAGAAGTAGCATGCCTTGCCAGGCCACACCTCTTGTTTGATCCACTTATTTCAGGTGCTAAGACCCACTCGTGACATGTCTGAATGTTTGGGGGAAAGGGGAATCTGCATATTCAATACCCCTTGATTTCCTTGAGTGTGGAATATGCAGCCTCTCTCAAGAAATGCTCAGCCCGTCATATGATTGGTCCTTTACTGTGCAAAATTTATCCTGTATCAGAAACCTACCTAAGAACTTCAAAAGACAATTTTCAATGCAATAAAGAATTACTCCCTTGAGTACAGAGAAGGCCGATATTAAACCAGAATTCAATATACAATCCTTATTTTCTGCTGCTTTAGCCCTAGGAAAGAAATGTATGATACCTAGCTATGCAAGAAAAGAAAGCACAGCTGTCCTTTATACCAAACACAGGATACAATTTAACTGGCCTGCAATATGTAAAGAAACATTTTAGATGATCTTATCCATTCTTACTTTGAACTTTATAAATCTAATAATTCTTGCTTTAAGGAGCCCAGAAGGTTCAAAATCAGGAACTAGAAAAACAGCTACTGAAAGCTACACAAGTTGAGGATCAGGATTTGTTATTTTGAGCCCTGGTGCGATATGAGACTAAGGAACCAGTGACTGGGAAGGTCTGTCAACCTATGAACCTGCACATTGTTCTGTAGCATCGGGAAGCTGGGAGACTCTAGCCCATAAAGGTACAAAGTATTCATCTCCAGCCTTGGCAGGCTCTCTCTCTAGACTTTAGACCAGTGGTTTTCAACCTGTCCACAGACCCCTGAGGGTCCACAAACTATGTCTAAGGGGTCTGTGAAAGATGACTATGATCAAACAAAAGCATGCAAATACTCACACTTACAATTCAAGGGCATCCGCACCTCCATTTGAATTTTTTTTAGGGGTCCACAAATGAAAAAAAGGTTGAAAACCACTGGCTTACACTACAAAAATCAGATAATTCTTTTATTATCTTGCTTAAAGCATCACCCACCAATCCCACCCAATATTCTAGCATAGCTGTTACATTATGTCTATATTGGTGATATGGGGGGCCTGCCTGTTGCATTAAATTAGCTTACTGAGACAACTCCATTGAATCCTGCATTTCCACTTAAAAAAAAACCACATAATCAATATCATCAATGACCTCTTCTGGATATATCTGTATGGCTTTCCCTCCATCCTTCTCTTCTCTGCATTGGACTTTGTCTGCTATACTTCTTCACTTGGTAGGAGTGTTGCCAGCGGATCGAGGGAAGTGATTATTCCCCTCTATTCAGCATTGGTGAGGCCACATTTGTGTTCAGTTTTGGGCCCCCCCACTACAGAAAGGATGCAGACAACTTGGAGAGAGTCCATCGGAGGGCAGCAAAAATGGTGAGGGGGCTAGGGGACATGATTTGTGAGGAAAGGCTGAGGGAACTGGGTTTATTTAGTCTACAGAAAAAGAGGCTGAGGGGATATTACAGCCTTCAACTTCCTGAAAGGAAGGTTGAAAGAGGATGAGGCTACACTGTTTTAGTGGTGGCAGATGACAGAACAAGGAGCGACAATCTCAAGTTGCAGCCCCTCTAACCCCCACAGGGAAGCCAGCCTTTACGGACGCACAGCCCCCAGCAGTGGCACACCCCTAGAACCTTCCCTGCGGTACTCCTCAAGGTAGACATGTGACAATGAGCTGGGTTGGGACTTTGGACCCTAGTGCAGCTGTTTGCAGGCTTGGAGTTGCCTGCCACATCTGGCCTGGGCTCTGGGCAGCTGCTGCCAGCCATGGAGCCCAGGCTACTTGCTCTTGACCACCTGCTGTGAGCAGCCCAGGTCCATGGCTGGCGACAATTGCCCAGGCTGACTGTGGCATGCCGAGCAAAACGGCCTTGAATGCCATGCTCTGGCATGCATGCCAGGGGCTGCCGACCTCTGAGCTAGGCATTTTCAGCTTGTAGAAAAGACACTTAAGAGGGGACATGACAACAGTCTTCAAATACCTGAAGGGCTATCATAAAAAGGAGGGAAAATATCTTTTCTCTCTTGCTGCAGAGAGAAGAATGCAGATCAATGGCCTGGAGTTGCAGCAAAGTAGGTTTAGACTGGATATCAGGAAAACCTCCTTCAGTGTTGTAACAGTGAGGCAGTGGAATAGATTGCCTAGGAAAGTTGTGGACTGTCCATCACTGGAGGTGTTCAAGAAGTTGGGCAGCCATCGGTCAGGGATGTTCTAGGCATAAGCACGCCTATGTTGTACTAAGGGTATTTCCCGTGCTTCTGGGCCTTGCTGGTTGCCCCAGGGCTGAGAGGGAATTCCACCCCCCACCACTGCCACGTCTGCCAGGGTTTTTAAGCCTCTCAGAGGCACTGAGTGTTGGCCTACGCCAAGGCTGGGGATTTGGCTTAGGGTGGGTTAGTGCTCCTGCTGGGACTTAAAACCTGCAGATGCCTGGCTAGAGGATTTTTCCCCTCCACTCAGGGTCAGACTGATTGCCAGGAATGAATTTTACCTCATGGTCAGATTGATATGGACTGTGGGGGTTTTACCCTCCTCTGCAGCACAGGTCATGGCCCTCTTCCTGGGATCTCCTGAGCACATTTTGCAGCAGACGGACATCGGCCACCATGGTCCCCCTGCTTTACCTGTGGCAGGTTAGGGTGTTATGTCTTGTGTTGTGTCCGGGTTGACTGTGTGGTTTGCTAAGAGTTTAGACAATGGATTTGTACAGAAAGGTTTGGACAGGGATGATCCTGCCCCAGGCAGGGGGTTGGACTAGGCGACCTCTGGAAGTCCCTTCCAGCCCTGCTTTGCTATGATCTCATCTGACTACACAGAGCTTCACCTACCACCATGTTCTTGACTCACAGATTTCTTTCTCCACTCTTAAATTATCCCACCTTAACCAAACATGCATCTCTGGCACCCTTTTTGACATCTTTTTCTGCCATATCATCTTTGCATCCTTCCTGGGTGCTGTTGGCAACTCCATTATCCTTCAGCAGCCCTTGTACCCTGTGTTCCCTTGACTCCTCTCTCTGTCTGAAATATTGCCCCTGCCACTAAGTCCTGCTAGGTTCTTCCTCTACAGCCTCTCCATTTACTAAAAACAAATCTTTTTTCCCCCAATTATTTCATTTTTATTATAATAATCTATAAAAAGTCACAGAAATGCCAAAACATGAGCCAAACTTTGCTCCAATCACTCTGCCTTTTACACTTCCCACCTCCCTTCCCATGTTTGAATGATACCTTTCTTATATTTTTATTCTAGAGAGTGGGCTCTTTAGAGCAAGGATCCTAGATCACGTCTTCCACCCATGCTGGCTTTATGCTGGTATAACAATGATGTAGGAAAAGTTCCTCTTTATTTCTACTCCTGTAAGCTGCTAGAAAACCATGCCTTTTCTCTCTGCAGAACATGGTCAGCAAAGAAATAACAGATGACAGTGCCCTCATCTAGGTGATGGTGAGCCCGCGTCTGAGAAAGCAGTCAGGGATGACTTTAAGCAGGCAAGTAGCCCCAGTAACTTCAACTAGATCAGTACCTTAAATGCCTGAAAATAGGTGCCTGGCTCCAAGGAGGTAATTTAAAGAAGCAGGGTTCAGAATCTAGGCTCCCTGTACTGACAGTGGAAGAGTTGGGGCATCTGCCGGCTACTTCGAAACCCCAGACACTGCGTGTGAAAAGTTGCCTAGAACTACCCAAGAAGAAACACCAAGTACAGGGTACATCTGAGCTACCACCCTTCCCTGGAGTTGTTGGGGATATCCATTAGGAGCCTCTGCCTGCTTTGAAGTTTCATATCCTGATAATGCAGAATAAGAGGAGAGTAGTTAATTATTCAATAATGTACACCAGACATATTTTAAATAAATGGCATTTTGTCAATGAGGCTTCCACCCCAAACTAAAGTCCACCCTGACAAAAAGACCAGTGATGGGTCAGAGCAGACACCTCAGAGAGGTTGTGACCACATGCCCCAGTTCTGCATTCAGGCTCTGTCTCAGGAGAGCCAGAGAGAAGTGCTGGGAAGGGTCACTCAGGGCTTGGGGCTGCCCTTGAGCAGTCTACTGTTCCTAAATGCCAATCTCAGGCACACTTCAGTGGGAGGCATTTATTCTGTCGGCTTGGATCTGGAGTCAGAGGAAAAAGCATGTAGTTACTTTCAGTGATTTTCATTTTTAGTGAATTAAGGCTTCTTTTCACTTTCACCTACAACATTTCAGTTTAAGTCAACTCCCCTACTCCTAGTAGGGCCACATTAGACTAAATGAGAACAAAATCTGTCCCAATAGCTTTACAGGGTGAAGCCATCTTTTTTGTGCCCAGAGGAGAGGAAAACAGAGTTTCTGTGAAATGTTAATGAATTCATCATTTTATCATTCATATTATGCATGACTATGTACAGCAGTTATCTATATTTAGAGAGCAAGTAGGAAAGATTACTCAATTGGATGCATATGAGCCAAAAAAAATTTGTCAACTTAGCTCATAGAGTATTCTCGAAGTAGTGTTAATGCTGTTATTGAATTGAATTTTAAATCTCTGAAATGACTATAGTCTTCTGCTTCAATGTCAAGTTAACGGTATCTCCCTGCCTGCCTTTCCTACACAAAATTTTGTATGAATTAATCAATAGGAATTTTGTATTAAACAAGCAGGATGAGGGCTTGGATAGTCTTTCTGAATATAAGCTGTATACTTCATTTAGAAAAACAGAAGGTAAGAAAACAAATGGTATCATCCAGCACAGCCAGCCCCAAACAGTGAAAAAGTCATGAATCAGACACTGACATTCACTTAACTAACTTTAAAATAGTGAGATTAAAAAGTAAGTTTTTTTATATTTAAAATGCCCTGCCTCCCCCCACCCAGCCTTACGGTTTTTAAACCTTTTGG